AATTATTAATTATATAAATTTTTTAAACTGCATGTATAATGTTAAAGTATAAACAAAATTTTCATAATTATGTTAAAAATTTTTTGCTAAAGATGTTTAACTCTAAAATTACAACTAAAATCTCATTTAATTGTAATAACATGCCTCGGACTGCTTGTTCCTTCCAGATTTTTTTATTATCTGCAAGACAGGAAATCCAAGGTTTGCCAATTTTAAATCTTCTATTTTCTCCTCCCGAACCTGCAACATTATTATTGGATAAGAGCTCGTACAAACGAGCGACTTATAGTGCCATAATTGAAATGTCGATCCATTCATACAGAGCTATTTTTTGGCGCTACAGAAAAATGTCGCGAATATGTTCATATTGGCTAATTTGTAGCGCGATAAAACGTTACGGATACGTTCAGATGGGCGAATTCACAGCGCTTCTTTGTTTACCACTCTGAACGGATCCGTAATGTTTCTTGTCCCGTCATAAATTGACCCATATGAAGGTATTCGTGGCACTTTTCTGTAGCGCCAGAAATTGTGACTACAAAATCTCGTCTATACGAGTTCTAACTGTTAATAAATCCAGAAAAATAAAAGAGTGTAATTCCGATTGACTCCCACTCGCGATTGAAATTTTATATATAAATTGTTTTTAGTGTAAGAAATGAAAAACCTATACTCTCAATTTCGAGAAATAAAAAAAAGATTTTTGACAATATTTATCGGCTAAAATCCAGACTGATTAAGGAAATACGACTTCCCACGCGAAGCAACCACCCCACCTCCCTCCCTGCCAAGGAGCGTACGACTTTCCAGGCGAAACGACTCCACTCCACCTGCTTAGAGGAAACACGACTTCCACGAAGCGACTTCCACCTCATCTCCCTCCTGCTTATGCCTAGTTCAGACTGGACTTACGCAGTAAGCATCAAACAGCGGACCAGCAACTAACTAACGCGATATTTTTTATGCCATTGTAATATCGCTTCGCTGATTGCTGCTCCGTTGCTTGACGCTTGCTGCGTCCAATCTGAATTAGGTATTAGGAACCCACAATTTCCACGCGAAGCGACTTTCATCCTCCCCCCCCCCCCGCCTCTGATTAGAGACGCACGCGGCGCACGACTTTTCACGAAACGACTCTCATGTTACCAAGGCCGTACGACTTTCCAGGCGAAACGAATCCACCCCATTTCTCCCCCTGCTTCAAGGGCGTACGACTTCCATACGAAAAGACTCCCACTCTACCTCCTTCCCTGCGCCCAAGGAGCGCACTTTTCACGCAAAGCAAAACCTAAATGAAAAGTCGTAAAACAAAAAAATTTTTTTTTCATTTCCCGAAGATAAGACTATGTGTTTTTTTATTTCTCATATTGAATAGAATTTATGTGCGAAATTTCAAGTTAATCGCGAGCAGGGATCATTCGGAACTCCGTATGTATCCAAATAATATCCAAATAAAATTTCGAAAAACAGTTATTTACAGTGATATAATTAAATTGCAAATATATTTATATATGTTACATATATTTGTATATGTTATACATATATAGAATAGAATCGGATGTTATGAGCACTTCAGGTAATATGAGTACTTTTTATATTTCTGTAACAGTTGATATTAGTAGCGCTAACTGTTGTAAAATATCTACATCTGTCTTCGCGATATTTCAATATGCTGCGAAGTTTGATCTATGTAAACTTATGTACTTAGGATATCTATCATATTAAATAAGCCCGTATAGAAAGGAACTACTGAGAACTATTGTGTACTATTCAGATTTCTGTGTAGTTACTATTCAATTTTTATAGTTATTTGAATAATAACTATTGGCGAATAGTTCTGAAACGTAACTATTTGCGACTACATAACTAAACAGTAATTAAATAGTAACTACGACTGTTAGCGAATAGTTTTTAAAAATAATTATTCGTAATTGAACAAAACAAACCCATATAATATTGCCTTACCAAGTTGACATTAATCTTTGTGCATAAAATTTAATATTTTTTTAATATTTAAAAATATTTAAGAATTTTAAGCATGACCGCATGTGTGAATATATCAAATACGATAAAGGAATCCAAGAACGATCAAAGATGGATGTTTCAAATAATATATTCTTATATTATATATTCTTGTGTTATGTTACATTATATATTCTTATGTTAAATTAATTTATTTCAGATATAATTGAGAGCCGAAAAATTTTCAACACAATCATTCTGAAATACTAATAACCCCTAAATTAAAATAGACAGAAAGAAACTCAATTCTTGGCTTTCTTTATCATATTTGATATATTCACACATACGGTCGTACTTAAAATTCTTAAATGTTTGTATATATGTGGCCATATAACACGTTCTTTCTGTACATATCAATTATTGCGAAGAATATTTTCGAAGCTTCAATGGTCAAGCTGGTTAAGACATTCTTTTCAGAAAGTTAAGAGGTCCCAGGTTCGAATCCTAGCTGAGGTAATATTTTTCGCAATCGGTTTCTTACTTTCTTTAGCATTTCAGAATGTTGTGTTGAAACCAAAAGTTTTTCGGTTCTCAATCATATCTGAAATAAATTAATTTAATATAAGAATATATAATGTATTATTTGAAACATCCAACTTTGGCCGTTTTTGGCTTGCTTTATCGTATTATATTTATTTGTTCGCATAAATATTTTAAATAATGAAATATTTCAAAATGGATTTCTTAAATGACTTAAATAATGAGAAATAATTAAAAAATGTGACTATTGATTAGGATATAGAGTATTATAAGAAATAATTTTTCATATAATCAATGACTGTAAGTAACAGTAACTGATATAACCGTTAATGAAACATAACCGTTTAGCCTATCCTAAAACATTATTTTTTAAAAATACGATAAAATAATCACTATCCAAGATATTCGCGAACTGTGTATCTCTTGGGAAAATTTACTTTAGAAAACTTAAAAAATTTATTTTAGAAATACTTAAAATTTACTGTAGAGAAAGTCTAAGAGATAAAGATAAATTTGATCTTTAATCTTTTTTTTTAAAATATAATAACTTTAAAATTTACTTAAGGACAACTGAAAGAAATTAACGCCCGATTATATTTAAGTCATTCTTGAAAAACTTCAAAAATTTTAGATTATTTTGGCCTAACCTTTCACACACTTTAAATTATTTAAAAATTTTTTAAGTAAACTCTTAATTACTTTTAAACTTTTTAACTTCGTTAAAAGTAAATTTTCATAAGAAATTCATCTAATATTATTAAATTTTCACGAAAATCGCTAAGATATAGTCGCTACTTGTATTTACTATTTTGCTCCAATAGTAAATTATTCATGATTCTAATACGTAATAATGAATCATAAATTCTTGTAGTTACTATTCGCCTCATATAATATACATAATGATACTTATTAATAATAATGAATAGTAAATGGATAAATACTTACTATTCATTTTAACAGTAATGAATAGTGATGTCCCATAATACTACATGACATTACATAGTTCTCTTAATAGTTATTTTTCAATAATTCTTAATAGTCCTTAATAATTTCTTTTCACTGTACGTTATTTTTTATTTCTTATATTTTTTCCTTTAACTTCCCAAAGTCCCCCCCTATCTACATTGAGATAAGATATTATTCTTGAGACTTTCACAGGTGCTTTCTATATAAAGATTATGTTTCGCGAGTTTTCTCCGTGTTCAGATTCATTCTTGGAATGTCAACGTTTTGTGAACCTTGCAGTCCACTTCATCAGGGTGAGGAGCAGCCTGATACTGAACTGTTCCTTCGGGTCGTTCCTTTTATATATTACCTTTTATATATTACTACTGTTGGAATGATGAAGGGAAAGAAAAGAATTATGGGTGAGGGGAGAGAGGAGAGGTGGGGGAAATCAGTCAGTCTTCAATAACCGGGAGAAATTTTCCATATTTTATTTATATTGTAGCCATCTTATCTCTATTTAGATTGTTATCTCTATTTAGATTGTTAAGATGTTTTTGTATCTCTATGGCTTCTCTATATTTTCTTGGAACATTACATGATGTAATGTTGGCTATTGTGGTCGTTTTGTCAAACAATATTTGATGTCCTTTCGATGTTGCGTTCTGATAATGCTAATTGCGTGATGTGTTTTAACATTCTTTTATCTATAGATTGACCTTCTCTCAGTTTCTCCAATGTATACTTGCCCGCAGGAACAAGATATTTTGTATACTCCTGCGGAACTGAACTGAGGTCTTTGATCTTTAGGATTTCTTAAGATTTGTCCTATCTTTTTGGGTGGTTTAAAGATAGTTGGATAGTTAAAGATAGTTCGGACATTGTATTTGTTTAATATCCTGCCAATTCGATCTGTTGTTCCTTTGACATATGGGAGAGTGGATAGGATTCTTTCGTCTGATTGTATGACAGAGACCATTGTCTTGTTTGCATGTTTATTGATTGTTTTGATTATGTCTTTTTTGTCGTGTCCGTTTTTCTGTAAGGCTATTTTTAAATGATTGAGTTCTGTCTGTAGATTCTTTGTCAGAGATGAAGGCTCTATGTACAAGTGAATTGATTGCAGACTGTTTTTGCTGGGTGATGGTGTGACTCGGCATGTAAGTATCTATCTGTATATATTGGTTTTCTATACACTTGATGGCCTAAGGTACCGTCAGCTTTCTTAGAGATAAGAACATCTAAGAAGGGGAGTTTTTCGTTTTTCTCTATAAAGTGGGTATTTGGATATTGAATGTTGAGGAAAATAAGGAATTTACGGAGTTCGGCTCTGCCGAGTGTCTCCATAACATGATATCGTTATGTCGTACATAACAGAATCAAACTTCTGGTTTTTTGAATGCTTTTCTGAGGGCTTCTTTCTCAAAATGCTCCATGAAGATGTTGACGACTTATTACAGGAGAAATAGGAGAAACCATTGCCGCTTCTAAAGTTTGTTCATAAAAGATAAGATATTTGAAATAAGACATTTTGTTCCGTTAAAGAGATTCTAAACCAACAGGAATTACAGATTGCCAAGTTTTTCGAATTGGCTTTATAGATCACTAAATCTTTTTACACAATAAAAGTACACACGAAAAAAACACCAGCTATACTAAATTTGAAATTTGAGAAACTCGGGGAAAAAATTAAAAGTTCACTTTATTTCAGTTCTCACCTCAGGTTATAATTCCTTTAGTGCAAAAATTCTGTAGGACGTACGTACCAAATGATACCTTCCCTAGAAGCGTAT